CCTCTCCTTCCCCTTCTCCTCCCCTCCTCTCCCTCCCCTCCCCTTCCCTCCTTTCCCCTTCCCTCCCTCTCCTTCCCGTCTCCCTCACTCCAGCTTCGCCATGGTGGCTCTCAGCGGCTTTCACCGGTGGAGGTGCATACACGAACGGCGACAAGGGAAGTATGCGAACGACGACAAGGGAAGTATACGAGCGACGACAAGGAAAGTATACGGATGGAGTAGGGCGAGTGCAGACGCGAATGGATCGCGAATGGGCAAGGAAGAGCGAGTGCCAATCGCCTCGCAGGCGAGTGACAAGAAGACGAGACCGGCTGGATGGGTAGGAAGGGCGGTGGAGGAGAGGAGCGAAGGGGAGGGCGCAGGCGAAACGAAGAGGACCCCGCGAATGGGTGGGGAGGGGTGAGGGGAGCCTGGGGAGGGGGTTATCGCCCGCAGAGGCAGGGAACGGGGGAAGACACGGGGGGAAGGCTAGTGCGGAGGGGTGAGTTAGAGGGAAGGGGTGAGTTAGAGGGAAAGGGCGAGGGCGGTGAGGGGAAGGGGAGGGGGGAGGGGGACTAAGGACGAAAGTGAGGATCGAGCGAGCTTTCAAGAAGAAGAGAGGGGGGCGGGCTCTTGAGAAGATAGGGGGCGGTGAGCAAGAAGAGAGGGGGGGGGAGTGGGAGAGCGACGTGTGAGGGGGTGTGAGGTGAGCAGCGCGCTTTTCTGGTGAGCAGTGCGCTTCCCTGATGAGCATTGCGCTTTTCTGGAAACAAAGCAGTGCGCTTATTTTTCTGGTGAGCAGTGCGCTCTTTCCTCATCAGTGCGCTCTTGCGCTTGCCTCATCACTGCAGTATGGATACCTATCCGCGCAGAGGCGGTAACGACACTCATTCACGCAGACGGGGAGGGAAGGGGGGAGGATACAGCGCGCGGAAGGGCAGGAGGGGAGAAAGTATCGTCTGGGAGGGGGAGGACACGTCGCCCGGGAGGGAGGGAGGACACGTCGCCCTGGGAGGGGGGATACATCGTTTGGGAGGGGGCGGACACATCGCCTGGGCGAGGGAGGGGCGGGCACGTTGCCTGGGAGGGCGGGATACAGTACATCGCCCGGGAGGGGGGGAGGGGAATTCACCCGAAACGCACCCCCGGCCAGGTTTCGTGGATTTCTGACGGCGTGCACGCTTCTGGATCGGCGCCTGGGCTGGGAGAGAGGGGAGTGCATGACGACGTGTACTGTCGATCCACACCCGACGCGCGCGGTCGCTCCATGTCCAACGATGCGCACTCCCTCTCCGCACGTCCGACGATACGTACTCCCCCTCCGCGTTCGACGACGAGGCGCACCGTGCCCCGCTGGGTCGAGGCGCACGTCCGCACGGCTGGGCGGGTCGCGCGTCTACAAGGTCGGGCGGGTCGCACGTCCGCACTGTCGAGGCGACTACGCGCCCTATGGGGGCACGCGGTGTGGTGAGGGAGGGGATAGGGGAGACACCATGGGAGAGCAGGGGAAAGGGGAGAGCGGGGGAAAGGGGAGAGCAGGGGAAAGGGGAGGGGAGGCGGGAAGCGGGAAGAGGAAAGCGCGTGGAGGGCGCGCGAGGCGAAGGTAGTGGCGCGCGGTGGAGGTAGGGATAGGGGAGAAACCATGGGAGAGGAGGGAAGAGTGGAGAGAGTGAGCATGAGAGAGGAGTGGGGAAGGACGAGGGAGGGGAGAGGGAAGGGCGGGTACGTTGCCTGGGATTGGGGGAGAGGGGAGGATACATCGCCAGGGAGGAGGGGGCAAGAAGAGCAGGGGTGATGGGGATATGTCGCCACCCAGGAGGGGAGAGGGGGAAGATACATCCATCCCCTAGGACGCATCCCTGGCCAGAATTCGTGGAATTCCTGACGACGTGCGCGATCGTCTAATACACGGCGACGTGCGCTGTCATTCCATGTCCAACGACGCGCACTCCCTCCCCCCGCGTCCGACACTGTGTAACCCCCCCCCCTCCCTCGGCGTCCGTCGATGCGTGCACCCCCGCGTCCGACGTCGACGATGAGGCGCACGTCTACACTGTCGGGCGGGTCGCGCGGCGGCACTGTTGGATGAGGCGCGCATCGGCACCGCTGGGGCGAGGCGGGCGTCTACTTTGTCGGGAACGACTGCGTGCCCTATGGGGGAAGAGGCCTGGGGGGCGGAAGCGGGAAGCGCGAGGCGAAGAAGGATGGGAGAGGAGGGAGGGGTGGCGAGAGAGTGGACATGGGAAGTGGTGGCGAAGGCGGCGCGCGGTAGAGGGGAGAGCAGGGCGCGGTGGATGCGGACGAAGGGAAGAGGGGTGTGGTGAGCGGGAGGAAGGACGTGGGGTCAGGAGTGATGCGAGGGGGCCACGACGGGGAGGGGGCCGCGACGGGGAGGTGGCCGCGACGGGGAAAGGAGAGGGAGAGAGGGAATGACGAAAGGAGAAGGCTCCCCCGCGCGCTCCGACGATGGGCATCGACATCGTTTCCCGAGGATGGGCATCGACATCGTTTCCCCAGGATGGACCGCAACAAGGACCGCTCGCCCGCGCGCCCCGACGATGTACATCGACATCGCGCCGGACAAAGTGCGCCACATCCTTGCGCCGGACAGCGCGCGCCAGTCCGTGCCGGACGAGCTGCACCACTGCATCGTACCTGACGACGCCCTTCACCATCTCATGCTGGACGAAGCGTGCCACTCCGTGGGGGGCGAGGTGGATCACTCCGTTGGGGAGGGGAGGGGGCGAGGTGCGCCGCTTCGTACCAGGCGAGGTGCGCCGCTTCGTACCAGACGAGGTGCGCTCTTCGTGCCAGACGAGGTGCGCTCTCTGTGGCAGACGAGGTGCGCTCTCCGCGTTGAACAACGTGCGCCGCTTCATACTGAACAGCCTGAACCATGCTCCTTACCGGACGAGGCGCGCTTTGGGGGGTAAGGTACGATGCGAGAGCATGGGAGAGGAGGGAGGGGAGAGCATGGGAGAAGAGGGATGGTAGAGCACGGGAGAAGAGGGAGGGGAGAGCATGGGAAAGGTCTAGGAGGGTGGGGAGAGCTCGTGGAGGCGACCGGATGCGAGGCTGGGTGCGTTGGCGGCAGAGGGGGGAGGGAGGGAGGACGCGGGCGAGGGAGGAAGGACGCGGGCGAGGGAGGATGCGAGGGAGAGGGAGGGAAGTCGAGGGGGAGCGCGCACCCGAAGCGGGAAGGAGTGTGAGAGTGGGAAGGGGAGAGAGCGGGGAGGGGAGGAGAGAGCGGGAAGGGAAGAGAGCGGGAGAGCGTGGCGGGGCGGGGTGGGGTCGGAAACCTGGCCGGCCGGAACGCCAGCCAACAACGAACCTGATTCGCGAGTCGCCAGTGAACCTGATTCGGTAGTCGCCAATGAACTTTATTCGCGAGTCGCCAATGAACCTGATTCGCGAGTCGTCAACGCACCTAACTCGTGAGTCTCGCTCGCAAGTCGTCAAACTAAAATCCCCGCGGTGCGCTTTGAGATTGCTGATACATGATATCCTGCGTAGGGGTGATGGAATTCGATGGGAAGACCGGTGGCTTCCTGCTCCGGAAGGGCCAACAGCCTGCTCCGGAAGGCCCGACAGCCTCCTGCGACAGATCCACCGATGTCTTTGGGAGGAAAATGCGAGGGGCGAGTACCAAGTCGAGGGCGAGTGGCGAGTCGAGGGGGGAAGATGAGCGCAAGCGAAGAGAGCAAGGGGCGAGCGAAGAGAACGAGGCGCAGGACCCATCAGTACCAGCGTCCTGCCAGCAACATTCGCCGGGACGCGTTGCTCGCTGTGCGTGCGACGCCACCGTCTTCGACTTGTACTGAATCACGACGCTCGGGTCAGTCACGCGACCGCGATGCTTGCATTGCTCGACCCCGAAGCTCCCGTTGTTCGACCCCGATGCTCACGCCAATGCAAGCAGGGTAGCGCTCTTCGACCTCGCACGGCGCTCGGTGGTGCTCGATGGGTATACTGCATGCGCGATGGTAGCGCTCTGCGCTCGAGGGTACCACTCTGCGCTCGATGGCCGTCGATTGACAATGATAGGGACGGCGGGAGAAGTACTAGAAAGGGAAGACGGGAGAATTCGTGCTTGTTTAGCGCCGTCGACTCATCTCACTGGAGCCCTTCAGCGGCTTTCGAGAAGGGGATTTTCCGACAAATCATATTCGCGCGCGCCGTTTGTCAAGCGTGCGAGCCGCTCGTCAAGTCGATCATGCCGCCATACAAAATCTGCTTCCAGCGTACTGTACACCCAAGGCGCATCAGGTTCGTCCATCTCCCATGTTTAGTTCTGCCATTTTATTAGCCCTTCCCAGCCAACCAACAAGTCCCTTCCGATCCGCCCAGACGTCAAGCTCCTCGAGACTCTGGTGGTGGCGGGTGACTTACTTTGGACGTAGGTACAGACTAGGTGGGCTTACCTTGTCACGCCGTATGCCACATGCCCTACCTTTCCTCCAAAATATCGATCCTCCGCCTCCCGCTCGTCTTCTTCTTCCTCGCCGTCCCCATCCTCTCTAGTCCTCTTCCTCCCCGTCATCGTCCGACTCCTCCTTCTTCAACATGTAATCTGAAGGGGGCTTGTAGGTGATGCACCATTCGTCCAGGCAGGCCTCGTTATCGAGAGTAACCGTGCAGGATGGTGAGGCGGTTAAGACGCCTCGATGAAAGGGCGAGCACAAGCGGGCAAACGAAGGGTAGATGGGTGGAATTTTCAGGAAGGGTGCGCAGTGCTCATCCGTGTATGGTATCTCCCTTGCATGCGGTGCTGCTCCTTCGGACCGAGAGCGGTCAACGCAGTACAGCCAACCGTCCTGCTCCCGGATACGTTCCTGAAATCTCGGTGGGGCCGGTTCCCCACCGGAGGGAGCCACGGCGTCAGCGGACGAGGGCGACGGCGACAGGAGGTGCGTGAGATCCCAGAGCCTAACGCTACAGTCATAGTCTTCAGGTCGATTCTGCCACGGTTCCAAATCGAGAGATGCGGAAAGGATGGTTGTACCATGGCGTGCGCACGCAACGGAGGTGACGCGGCCTGTGTGGCCCTGCAGCATAGTACGCGGTCGGTCCTCTGCTTCCGCGATATTCCACACACCTACGCAGCCGTCATTGCACCCGCAGACGATGTGTGTTTCGTCGAGGGCGAAGGCTGCAGATGAGATAGAGGCGCCATTCTGCCAGCAGCGAGTGTTCTCCGTCCAGGTCTCTATGTCCAGGAAGTGCACCACCCCTCTGGAGCAGTACACGATGCGCCCACTATCAGCCGAGAAAGCGATGGAATCTATCCTTCTGTCAGACTCGGGTTTCATCCAGAGCTGCTGACCCCACACCACGCTCCAGACTCGCAGGACTGAATCACAGCCGGTCGCGATGAGTAGGTTGTTGGGAGATATTGCAACTTCCATGTGGTCGAGGGACAAGCCGGTGTCGATGGAAAGCTCTAGTTGTCGCCTTTCGACCGTGTCCCACATCCGTACGGTCCCATACGAGCTACCGGACACGATGTAGCTGCCATCGGATGAGTATACAACGCACAGAACCTCACAATCAATCTCAGATGAACATTCATAGAGCTGCAGTGCGTCCCCGAGCTGCCGCTGCGTCTTCACATCCCATATCCTCACCAAGCCGTCGTGCTCTCCGGCGGCGACATGTCTACTGTCCGGTGAGAAGGCGACACATAGGATCCCATCCGGGTGTCCTACCATGTCTTCGCCAACCTGCCGCACTGTCTCTGCATCCCAGATGCGCAGTGCTCCGGTGGTATAACCCAGTGCAATGAGTTTGCCATCTGACGAGAGCGCAGTACATGCAACAAAATCGAGCGCTCTGGGATTTTCTTCTGGTCTCACTCGCATGTCAACCCTGCATCGCCATACTTGAAAGTCGTCATTGATGCGTTCTCTACGCCGCAGCGCCGCGATGTGGCTCCCGTCTGCCGAAAGTGCAACTTGGTCCAAGTTCTGCAGCGTGTCAAAGAGCCTAGCGCGTGTACGCAATTCATTTCCTCCTTCGTAAGCCCCGCGCATCTTCTCCTTCGCAGGTCTGCTCCTTGTAGGTTTTCCACGCGCCCAAAGTGAGGATGGAAATGTAGGTACCGAAAAGGCGCTTGGCCCCATAGCAGGTAGATGAAGATATTGCTGCGAAGCAAGATCCCATACTTGCAGTATACCTTCGCCGGAGATCGACGCTATAGTCTTTCCCGCTGGAGAGAAAGCGACGCACGCGATCCTCTGATTGCGGCCTTCGAGTGTGTTTCCCACCTGACTCGAATGGTCTGTCTCCAGATCCCACAACCACACCGTACCACTCTGTGTGCCGTACGCGACATGTGCGCCGCCGGGAGAGTACGCGATACAGGTTATATCCAGATCATCTTGTTGGTGCGTCTTCATTGCGATACAACAGCATGCACTTATATCCCATATCTGCAAGGAGTCTGCACTGGCGATTGCGAGGTTTTTGCTGTCGGGCGAGAACACGATCGGCGTTGGATGTTTGATCCAGGTCTTCATGATCCTTTCAGAGCCAAACCGATGTTCACCCGATCGCATCCTCGTTACTCAATGGTCCCGTCCGTGAGAGAACAAGCGAAGAGTTTTCCATCAGGCGCAAACGTGACACCTATGACCATTGCGATCCTGGGCCAACCCATCGGGTAAAGACCGTTCCTCATTCCTTCCTTATCATACCAGAAACACGCGCCTTTGTTGTATACACCGAGGGCTACCGTGCCCCCATCCGGTGAATGGGCGAGCTGAGTTTTCACGGCGGGTGATCCAGATGGGGATTCCCCCCGAAAGGAAGTCCGAGCGATGTGGAGGCTAGTATCAACGGGCCAGCCGTGTGACGTCGCATTTCCAGATATATGAACAGGAACATTGAAACGAGATCGATAGAGTTTGCCGACCCGTGAGTTGCGAGGCGCCAATGTGAGACCACTGATGTAAACTTGAGGAGGTGATTTTGCTATAGCTTCTGTGAAGCACTGATCGAACTCGATGCAATCGAGGATGAAGTCGCGTAGGTCAGTGCGGTCGGAGCGCTACGTCTGCGTCAGCTTTGAGCGTGTCGTAGTGTCATCAGGCGAACCTGTGCCCATTCCAAAAAATGCTTAAGAAACTTTGCGGATATGTCCTTGAGAGCCATGCAGCTACACGTCTCGAGCCAAAACAAGAAGTTCCGCTTCAGCAGTATGGTCGATTCATGATCAAAACGCAAACCTGCAGACCATGACGGTTCAGTACAGGATCACACAGAGCTTGAACATGATGCATTACCAGAAGACTGAATAGCGCCAGACGAAAGATGTATACCAATCTGCTGGCAGGCGTACCGAAGCGCTGGCGAAATATAGTTGGACACGCGCTGTTGGAGATCCTGGATATGCTGCTTCAGGACGAATGTTTTGGGCAATCGGCATATATTGAGCCTGAGGCCTTCCGTAGGATCGTTCATAATCCGTAGGCAGCCATAAGCGACCTCCGCATGTGCCACCGCGAGATCGTAGCTAAGAGAAAACGGCTGGCTTTGCGTAGTGTCCAGAATGAAATCGCGAAATGACGTATGCAGCGGCTGTACAGGGTCTGCACTGGCAGGCGTAACCCCCGTCAACAAAGATCCAAGGCCGAGGAATACGAAGTCAAGGTCATCGACGTTCGCCAGATGCACCTTGGCTATGCTTCGGAACACGGCGTACGGTTGAGGGCTCTGCATCACAAATACCCAGCCTAGGAGTTGGCGAAGGATAGCTATGACAGCCGCGCTAGTCGTGTCGAAGTGGGCTTCGAGAATGGCACGATAAGTCTCGTACAACGGCTGCCCGGGATTATCCATAATGCGTCGCATAAGCTCGCGTGGAAACACGACGGTTCTTGGGCTGTTGACTTTGGTGAGCTCCAGGCAGAGCACCGCCGCGCTCTGAAACAACGTCTGCGCCGCGCGTGCGACTTCGTCGACCTGGCCGCTGAAATGTGTGCCCGCAAGCTTGGACTCGACGAACGCGCGTATGTCGCAGTCAGTGTCGTTGACCTTGTCGATGGATAGTCGCGTGGCTTGCATGCTCGGCTGGGCCAAACACTCAAGTATATCCTCGTCCGGGCGGTAGGTAAGGAAGAACCGGACGTTCGAGGGAAGTTGGGAGTCGACAAGACAATCGCGCAGACACTGTAGCATGCTCCTTCGATCTTCGGCTTGCAGGCGTGCATCAGAGCACTCATCAAGCGCGTCTATAACGAACACTATGGGAGTGCCGACGGTACAGTCTCCTAGGCCCCCGCGGATGAGGCACTGAACTTGAGTCGCGGGATCGCGACTTTCTAACTGCGAAGACGGCTGATCGCATAGGTATTGGCTATACAACTTGTTCCGCTCCGCGAGTTGTCTGGCCAGCGTCGGCAGGAGCTGGTGTGCAGCGCGTTCCTGGTCGTACCGGTTGAACGCGAAAAAGGGCGCAACAAAACCAGCCTCTTGCAAGGACAGCGCCACTGTATGAGCGACGGCGGTTTTTCCCCTGCCAGCGGTACCTTGGAGTAGGAATACACGGTTGGCGACGGGGCTGAGAGCCCAATCCCGAATTTTCTGAAGTAACTCAACGCGTGTCCCGGGCAAGCACCGCTTGCTTGGCTCGGCTCGCACGCCGCGCGCGTATGGGAGTTTATCGAGGCCTACGAGTTTACGATCAAAAGGCATAGCAGGAAGGCGTATGACCGACTCACGCATCTCTTCGAGTATGGTGAAAACCGCTACCTGCGTGTCAACGCTTCCCTTGCTTTCGAAATCGTCCATGAACGTCGAGATGCGCGTTTTGAATTCGTGAATGCGGGATTCGACCTGGGATGAGGTTCGACGAGCTAAAGAAGCTGTATGAGCGGATCGGCTCCGGCAACAAGAGACGTACCTGCGGACACCGCCGACAGCGGGCGAAGGTAGACGAGCGCATCATGGATCTCTCTCAAAAGTATGTCGCGGGTCTTTAACTGCATTTGGCGCTTGCTGCGATAATGCGGTTCGTCCTGCGCGTAGACACGCTGGCTCGCATCGGCGATTGTATCGAGAAGATCATGGATAGCCTCCAGGCGCTTGAGCCTCTCGTCGAATTGCTGGCTACAAATCAGCATGTGGAAGGAAGCCACCATACCGATTAGAACATACGTTGATCCCCAGCGCTATCACCGAAAGTATCATTTTGGCGATCGGGTTGAGCTGATGAATGCGCTGGAACGGCAGCGATTTGCAGCACAGCTGAGCGACATACCTCCGCCACAATGCAGCCGATCTCGACCAACGGTTTCACGCAGTTCACCATCCTCGACCACTTCTCGTGCACCACAAAAGCTTCCGTTAACCTTCCAACTTCACTCGAGTCCAATAGTCCAGTTGCGGCATGGACTGTGAGAACAGTGCTTTCGATCGGGGCCTCACGGTGAATCGGGCTCAAAATAACTGAAAATAGTCACAACAAAAGCCACGGAAATTCGAGATTAACGCGCACCAGTACAGAATTCTTCGGAAAGAAGAGTGTTCAGCAGAACGTCTGTCGCGGCAATGCATCTGTCTTTCATGATATGCTGCGCGTATATCTGTATTTTCAGGACCGAGTCGGCCTTGGCCGGTCTGCGTGCGCACGTACATCAGTGGGGACTACCAAGGGTGCAGACAGAACGTACACAGTCATCGGTGCAGCGACAGCGGTGTCATTGTCGAGGTAGCGTTTTGATATCTTGCCGTCGCCAGCCTTGACTTTGGCATATATAGGTCGGACGGTCCCCCGCCATGTCACGATGCGGGGGACGCCTTCGCCTGCGAACGCGGTCCTCTATCAGATGTACACTCTCCGCCGACGCAGTACTCACAGCGCACGATGTACAATGCGTATTCCTCTCTCGCTTGACTCTGCTCGGTTGCGTATTCCATGGTGGTGGTCGGCGCGAAGGGCATCGATGGTGCACAGGACTCGTCAGTACAGCAGTTCGGCGGACGCCGGTGCCGAAGTTCATCCACAGATCAACAGTTGACCCTCGTTCGAATCCCGCTCTCCTGCCCATTAGCTATGCCAGTGTGAGGGGACGAAGAAAGATTGTGAGCTCTTATGGTACTGAGATAAGCGTAATGATGTTAAACGAAGCCTACGCAAGAGGGCCATTTCCGACTACCACCGTGGTCTTCTCGCTAGAGTACACCACGAAAAGAACGAAGCCCTGAGGCAACCTGTGTGCGGACTGATTACATGTCTACGCTTCGGTCGCAGTCGAGGAAACAGCCGGACGTCGTTCATTCCGTACCCAAAAAGTACGACAAGCGGTATGCTCAAGGGGAGATCTAGATTGAATGCCTTTCTTGTTTATGTTACAAAAATCGTCTTATCAATGCCTTACGCCTTCCATCCGACCACGACCGTCGCCTTGTACGGATACTCAAACACGCCCTTCGCCTCGTCGATCCACTTGCGCCCCTCACCTTTTTCCAGAATCGCTCGAACGTCCTTGACCACTTCCGCGCGCTCGTCCTCGGGCAGCGACGCGATGTAGCTCTTGCTGCACGCGCGATCGACGGTGAGCTCGGTGGTGCCGGGGAGGATGAAGGAGATGGTGTGCGAGGTGGTGTGAGGGAGCGTGTCGGTGTCGGTGTCGGGCAGGTCCGCGCTCGAGGGAGGCTTCTCTGTGAAGAGTTCCTTCCACTCCTTAGTGTCTGCGAAGGCGCGCCAGAGGCCGAGGCGGAACTGGGGGGCGCCTGCAAGGGGAGTCAGCAACGTCGTCAACTCGTTGCAGTAACGATGCACAACTCACCCTGCTCGTGGCGCTCTATGCGATCGCGTAGCTGGGCGATCCAGGGTACGGCATCGCTGGAGGATCGGGGCGTCAGCAAGTTCGCCGTTGTACATCTAACTCTCAGGAACGCATCGCCTTGTCCTGACTGAAGTAAGGGCTGCTCACCGATCCTCCAAGTTCCAGACTAAAACAAGCGGGGCGCCCTGCTTCAGAGCCCGCGCAAACTCGGGTATCGCGGCAGAGTGGTCGGGGCACCAGTGGAAGGCCTAGCAGAGGAAGGGTCAGCGGGGTCTTGGTTAAACGGCATAGCTCAGAAGTACGAGGAGCGCTACAACTGTGCCAATGTGAGCCTCACTTGCGCAATTATGATCAGATCCGCCCAGCCGTCGGGCACAGGCAACGAAGAGAAGTGTCCATCGTGAACGGTGATCTTCGGGTCGTTGTTGTTCACAGTAGAAACGGTCGACTTGACGAACTGGTCGCGCATGCCCTCGGCAGGCTCAATTGCCTGGGAGAGCGGTGAGCATTTTAAACCTCTGAGAACCTTGGAGAGATGTGGCATGACTCGTGAATGCAGCGTGTCAGCGGATGCACCGCCAACACCAACATAACAGTATTGCCTGCACTCACCCTCAGCTCGCCCACATCATCCTTCCATTCGGGGTGCGCAAGCAATGCGCGCGTGAAGATGCCCGTGCCTGCGCCGACCTCGAGCACGTTCAGCTTCCCTCCGCCATCCACTTTCCGCGCCGTCTTTCGGATCCAGGAGAGAACAGAGGGCTGGTAGGAGGGGCGGGCGCTGGCAGTGGGTTAGCGAGATGCATGTGGGGGAGGTGGTCGGGGATATGGCGTGGATATTGCGAGAGTGGCCATGGACATGACGGCGCGGAGGAGGAAGATCGGACGGATGAGCGAAGGCGGACCTATCAGGGGAATAGACGCACCGATCATATAGGTCATTCGCCACATTGAACCCCTTCGCCGCCATGTCGTGCACGGGGGTCGCAGGGGACGGAGAGGGTGCGCCGGACATGACCGATCTAGATAGCGAACGAGCTAGGACTGGAGAACGCGTGAATGGGGCGGATGCGACCGTCGATGCTATCGGGCTTCTAACGATACGAGAGGCTAACGCGCTCGAGCGTGCAGATCGCGACGAGCGTAGAGCAGGGGACGACGCGCACAGCGAGGATCGCGACGCGTACGATCTAGATCGCGGAGGAAAGATACTCGAAACCGACGCGTTCGTGATGCTGTTATGCAGAGTGGAGATAGGGGTATCGCGAGTCAAAGTCCCGAGCACGCGCATTGACGCCAGCGCGGCAAGGTGGAAGAAGGCAGCGGAATTCAGTGGCGAGTCAGTGCCAGTCAATGAAGGTCAGAAGATAAGGCGAGTGGTGGACGGTGCGCTATACTTGGTTCGGGCGACGCGTCCGATGCCCGACGATGGCGCCAGCGGGTACTGGAATGGCGGCAGCAGCATTCAGTTGAGGCGGCGACCCGCGGGAAGGTTGAACATGTCTTGAACACCAATATATTCCAGCGTTCTATATACGTACAACAGAACAGCGTACATAGGGACTGCGACACAAGAACACTTGCCTTATGACCGAGGTCGCTTAACAATCTTGACATAGGCGTAGGTCGGTGCTGAGAACATGTTAGCACGATATTCCGGACACGCCAAAAACGACAGTGGGTTCAGTGTATGGTAGGATATAATCAAGCGCCGGAGCGTCAGCAACAGCTTCTAGTTGATATTTTGTTTGCTTGGGTATCATCACGAAGGAAGGGAGGTCGACGACGACGAGACGAATGGGAGACAAAGGCTCACCGTGAGACGACGACATGCACTTATATGATGAGCTCGTCCTTCAATTAGCACGGCGGATAGCCGTACGTTAGCCCGGACTGGGGAAATTGGGTTAGGGCAAGGTTAAGACAACAAAAAGCAACGTGAGGATCAGAATGGGATGCCCGAAGAATTGAGCTGTGGCGGGCCTTTTCGGCACGGGTAGTACGAAGACCGTCGTGATAAAACATCATTTAAGGGATGGGAAGGAGAAGATACTCACGTTGGTAAGCGATCTTTCGCGACCAGCGTCGTTGAAGGAGGGCAACAGCCCGCGAAGTAACGTGCCTATGAACGATGTCCTGGGAGCACAAGTCAGTATATGTAGTCCATGAACAGGATCGAGCGTGCAAGGATCAGTCAATTTGTAAAAATACAGCCTTGGAATTCACATCAGGCGCCAACCCGTTGCATAAGGTCGACTCAGGCGGTAATTCCTACTTCTCATCCGGGTTCATGGGTGGGAGGAAGACTCACCATCAGAGGACGGCCAAAGGGGGAGGTCGGGTATCAGTATCGCATGACGACGACGTCAAGAGATTTCCCAAGGAGGTGCGCGTCGCCGTGACGTCTGGGAAACGGATGGTGAGTACGAGAGTCGAAGGTAAGAGAGGGGAAGTGAAGGAAGTATGAAATCAGTGGATTGACAGATGTTTAAAAGCATTGGGCCCAAAGGCGCTCAGATACTCTAGTTTGAAGTTTGGATCATCTTGAAAGATGAGGGACAGGATGGAGGTGATAATGAAGGTAATCAAGACGCGGACTGACCGATCGCCGAGCACGCCTCGATCACCCATGTTTCCTCTGACGTTGCCCTCTATGCCCTCGTATGTCGAAGACAGGTCATACCGATGTGTCGGACAGCTGATGATAGGTTAGCACAGGTGTTGAGATATTAACCGGGAGGGGAGGAGAGACCGATCAGTGTAACTATGACTATAATGGATCATTCATCGCGGAATCCCGCTTGACAAAAGATTGGAGTTGTCATCTCTTCGGCGGAGAGGGGAAGGAAAGGGCGAAGGGGAGGTGATACAATATATAACGGAAGGACCATGGATGCAGACTTGCCTAGAGAATGACGGTTACAACGTCAAGGCTTTCGATGATTTTCAAGGACGCCGGCAGTGAGGTCAACGCGCAGTTGCTGTCTGATAGCCATGGTGAAGGAGGGGAGCAGTGCGAACGCGAGCAGCAGGTCGTGGACGAGCCGGAAAAGAAAACGCGATCGAATTTTGTAGGCGCGCGGCCGATCACTTGAGGGCCGGCTTCTCGTGATCAGTCACGTTTTCCATGTTTAACTTTCGACTGCTGCTTCCGGGCTAATTCCCCGGCGATCCCATTGCTCCTCCAGCTTCAAAGAGATTCTGCAGCCGTTGATATATATCATCAAGTCCAAATATGTGATCAGAGGCATTACAGCGCCCCCACGCTCCTTATCCCCCGCTCTCTCGTTACAGCACACCTATCCTTGTCCCGCCCCGTAGCGGATTGGAATGCAGCAGTGAGAGCGGCGTCGCCATCATCAATCCATTGCACCGCGTGCGCGTGCTTGTCAAGGATAACCTTGGACGTCGCCCACGAGAAGCGCACCGCGCGCGGGAAGCCGAAAGTGGGCTCGACAGCGGCTGCGAGCCAGGCTTTGGTCTTTGGGTCTGAGATGGAGTGAGTACGATGAACGTTAAGCGAGGGGCATTTTCAGCGTGCGAGCGATGATGAAGGGACGTGATAGTACTCTTGCACAGAGGGATTCGAGGAGGTAGATCTCTCACCGGAAGGATAACCACTGCCTCGCTCGGCAGGAAAGCGGCTCGCTGGCGGAGGTGGCACATTTGCTGTTCTGTCCTCCATGACAGTATCCTCCTCCGTGGCGGCAACATCCTCGGTGGCAGCGGCGTCGATGTCGGCGAGGACCGCAGCCGCGGCAGCCTTGTCAGCTGCTAAGCTGGCTGAGTTCGCTGCATCCGCCCCGTCTTCCTCGTAAATCCAACCGTCAATGAGAGCGTCGCGGGTAACCTTGGCTGCTACACTGGCAGCACCGACGATCTTGAATTTTGAGTCGGCCTTGTTAGCGACTGTGAACTTGATCTCGGGAAACTGACGAAAAGTCACCTGTCAGCAAGAGTACCCCAGCGTACGGAATGAAGAAACAGAATCAAGTGGGTCCATGATCCCCAGCAATGACGTACCCTTTGACTGAGCCATTGCTCATACGCCACTGTCGGGCCTAACGCGTCGACGAAGACCGCGCTCAGCTGTATGCCGCGCGCAAGCACGCCGCGGATCAGCATGACAGTGGCGTCGCGAGACTGCTCGTTGAGGTTCGTTGGTGGACGGCGCAGCATGCCGCTGGATAGAGCTTGGGGACTGGAAGAGGGGACAAACACTGTCAGCGATGATCATATAGCTTGGATGGCCGAACGCACCTTATCACCCGCACGGCCCAGCCGAGCACGTCTGGTGCGCTGCATAGGGTTTCGAGGAGCGCTTCACGGCGAGCAGCATCGAGCGTCTTGGAGTCTAAGGAGTTTGTCGTTAGCGATCGTACTCTCTGCTAAGGAACATGAAGGGTGCTCTTGGTTGCTATCAACCGCCGCCCATGATTGGGTTACTCACCCGCGAACCCCATTGCCTCCATCCGCTCCTTCCCTGTCTCGGCTACGTACGCTACCCCATACACCAGCGGTCCGAGTACAGGTCCTCGCCCCGCCTCGTCTACGCCGAGTATATACTTTCCAGACGCAGTAGGTATTGGTGCGTGGTAGGTGTAGGAGGCAGTGAGGGGGAAATGAAGGTGCGCAGAGGAAGCTTCGTCCATTGAGGTGTTAAGATTGCTGAGTGGTGTGCTCGAGGAGGATGTGGACGTATCGAGGGTGCTTGAGGATGTAGAAGGCTCAAGAGAGGTCGATGGGGTGAGAGAGGCACCAATGGGTGTAGAGGTGGAAGAAGTGGACGCTGACACGGTATGCGTTGAGCTAGTAGCGGGCGAGATGCCATTGACCTCGGCATCGGAATTCATGGTATGGCAGATTGGCGCGCCGGCGGGTGCGTGACTTGACAGTCGGAGATTGGTAGATGAGAGTTTGGACCGCGTCGCTTCTCGATCGCGTTGTTGGTGGTTGTTTGCTTTCATGCCCATCACGCGGCACGCCACGCGCGGGCGCGAGCGCCGGCCCGCCGGATGTCATGTTCAACTCTGTATATCCCAAGGTTCCCGGTCTTCCCATGTCAAAGCCCAGGTTCGCTACTGACTGAAGGTCGATAGATCCGAATGTGAAATTTTGGAGGGATGGCCACGTCATGCTCGAACGCGCTGGGGGCCTTTGGTACTCTTCTCCTGCCGCCAACGACGCTCGCAGGTTCGGAATGCTGCCTTCGGTAGTCTTCGTTCAACGCCAGCCTCGTGTTGTGCAGGACGATCGCTATTAAGGAGCGTGGGTACCATCTATCGTACGTACTCCGTTCCTTGTTGGGCGGTGCTCAGCCGCGTTTTTCTCCCCTTAGATCATCATGGACTCAAACCGTGACCTTGTCCGTATCTCTCCGCGAAGGGCGGTCGTTGTTGCGCTTCCCACACTTCTCGAACCTCCATGACACCCAATACTGAACAGCCAACACGACACGTAGCCGCCGGGCGCTAAAGACTGGCTCACAAAATCATCAATCCAGCAGGATAGAAATTGTTTACGCTTACCGCAGAATAGCGCAGCGCCGGTGCTCAGGCGCGAACCTTACGGATGCTAGTAAGGAGAAGCTTGCTTTAACCGCGATCCGTTGCGTTGTTTTCATCTTTGCACTGTGTTCCGGTGGCTGTTTGTCTTATTAAATGGACATCGATCGGATGCAGCGCCGTGGAGGAACTATAGAGGAGCAAAGCCCATGGGGGTAATGAGACTCACATCTCGCTCTAAACTGAAGCGGCGGTACTAGCATTGAGGTATCATATAAACACCAAAACACGGCGGGTGGGGCATTTTCGGCCTGCCTTTCCCCGCCATCTTCACCGTCTGCGCCATTTTTCATCCACTCGCTTTGTCGTCCGTCATCATGGTGCGCCTCTTCGCCGTCTTTCTCTGCGCCTCCACTGAAGCCTTCCCTCAGAACCACCACGTTGCGGCCCGTGCCCATCCCCTGCTTACCCAGGTGAGTCTATTTCATCAAATGCTCGCAAAGAGGACGTCTGGACACTCGCACGTATGCCCCTGCATGCCTGCATCCGCGAGAGTGTCGGCGAAGAGCGCACCTTCCATCCGCACCCACTGCACGTTCCCTTGCGACATCAACGACACCTCTCATCTCCACCACGTACTGACCCCCCTTCAGATCCGGAATCTCCTCATGGTACATTTTCCTCCCCCCAACGGTCTTTTCGACATCCCTGCCCCGCCGTCTCTCGCCAGGCGCCCAAAGGGGACGGCCGGTCGCCCCTCTCCCTCCTGCCGTCTATCACTCCATCTACCCGCCCGTGCGCCTTCTCTCTGACATAAGCCATCACCTAGGACGACCGCGTGATGGTGCGCCTACCTCACTCGAACATCTGGGTCGCGGGCGTTGTAGTGTCCGTGCTGCAGTACTTCAACGCTGTGAGCTCGCCTTTTGCTACCGTCAGTCACAGGAAAAAATCGGTATCCACAGTGAATGCCTTATTTCTGCGCCAGTGACTCGGTTTTCATTTGGGACCGTGTGCTGACTCATGCACAGATTCGCAGCGACGGGTATCGGATCGAGTATAGCTCCAGAGGCGGGTGGCATGTCGAGCTCTTCCCTGCCTCCCCCGATCATATCCTACCGGCCACGCGTGGGCCTCCGCCTGCTCACGCAGACGACCGTAGTGCTGGATCAGCAAGACGTCAGGCCTATTGAGAGAATTGGTTCATGACGGACCTAGTTCAACGTTAAATCGGCGCGGTGACTCTGTTGCGTGCGTAGGCACTGATTGTCACCGCGGACGTTCGGCAAAGGCATGTTTCCGATGTAAATAACGTATGGTAGAAAACCTCTAATACTGTATGTAGACTGTGCTGGGCGTACGTGCTTCAGCCCAATAGCGGCGCGCACGGCGTGCTACTATGTACAGCGAACCTAATAGCCACGTTCCTTCTCTTGGGATCCATAGGTCAAGCTCGAGACTCACAAATCAGGCGTATGATCTTTCCATTCTCCCCCGTCGCATTGATTGGTGTGATTTTGAAGGGGGTAGGCTGCCCTCCGTCAGGGCGGAAATTTCGAGTATCAGTGACGGTGTTACGCCGTGACCGGATCACTCTAAGTTCATCATCTCCCACGACGCTTTCAGCACCTCCGACCGTGGCGAAGCCTCGGCCGACCGAGTCGCTGAGGCCTCTGCTCCCTCTCCCAATGGCAAGGCCAGCCATGATCAGAACGGAACTTTCTGGCATCGTGCGAGACCCAGCCGTGGGAAAGGGCGACTCCATTGGCTTGCATCTTCGGCCTTTGCCACTTGCTCCTGACCGTCGGGCACACCTCGTACAGCATTGGTCAGATCCTTATGCCCCATTGCTGTGATCTGGCCTAGAAACAGCCGAGTTCTTAAGGGCCCTGACTTCACGCCGGTCCGGTGCGTCTGAAGCGGCAGCGTTCGCATCGCGGGAAGAAGTAATATCAGTGCTGGATGAACTTGCGGTGGCGTGCATGGGTTGAACACCGATGCGTGCGAACAACAGCTCTTCGTACGTCTCTTCCTCTCTTCTTTCCTTCTTTATAGCCGGTGCTGATGGCAAGTCAGAGGCAGTAGGATCGGCCAGCCGCTGCCTTACGTGCTGTGGACTTTGCGAAGTGCGTTCCCGTACGCGCTAGAGACGCGCGTCGACTCAGATATAGTAGGGGGCCGGGGTAGATTTAATCGTGAGTGTTCAGTGCTGCCCCTCGCTCATTCATGAGCATCACGGCATAGCCCGCTATCATTATTCATCTCGACCACCGTCTGTCCACCATGCACTTCTGACTCTAAGCACTCATCTGCAACCTGCGGGAATATCATGCATCATGATGCAGTCTGTAAAATGTCCCCGGGCGGCGCACGCTGATTGAGCAAGCCCACCTTATCACACTCGCTAATCATCCACGCAGCTCGCACTCGAAGACCCAATTTGCTAGTGCCTCCCGCGACCCACCCCTCGTGGTTACCGTGCAGCCTCCGCGTTTATGCGAGCTGTACTATCCCGTCGTCACCGCCGATCTTCCGTGCCGAATCTTAGTCTGCCACTGAATTCAGAATGGCTATTCGTTGAATTCAAAAGCACTTTTTACCTCATTGCTGTGGATGGCTTCGAGGCGGCGGCGGTGCTCCCCAGGTCAACAGTGACCCAGGGCTATAGGCAGCCGATGCACTGATTCACCGGCACTGTAGACTGTATATAAGCCAAGGTACGTCTTTCGTCCTGCTTCGACACCTTGCCCTCTCCTTCATCAGCTATACGCCTGTGATATCTCTCCACGAACGTCAGTCACCCTCAGCCACAATGGTAGGTCAGCTGCGCCGACCTTCCGATATCTCTGACTCATGCCACACGCAATAGGATCGCCGCATGGTCTCCCGCCTGAGCGACAAGGTGCACTTCCCCTCACAATAAGTCTCGTCCAAACGGCTCCCATTTTGCGGCGACGATTTTCCGCGTCGTCGCGAGAGCTGGCCTGGTGCAATCCAATACCACCTTCACATACGATCCATTGTCCTCTAACGTCTACGGAGAGCTAACCGCTACATCAGATCAGGAACTTGTTGATGGTGAATGACTCTCTATGTTCCCCCCTGGATCTTTTAGCGCGGACAGCCTTCGCTCGCCTTTAGGCCGTTCTGTAGCGCCTATGCGCTGGTGCCACCCAGTCCCCTCACCCTCCATTATGACGAACGCTTCCTGACGCTTGAATTATAGGACGAACGTGTGACTGTACGCATGCCCAACTCGAACATCTGGGTGACCGGCATTGTCGTGTCCGTCTTGCAGTACTTCGACGTGGTGAGTGCTGCTTCATGTCGCCTGAAGGCTCGTGGCTATGCGTTCCGAGGCATCACGCATCAGCGGAGACGTGCCTACGCGGGTCACTGGCAGTGCAGAACTTCTTACGCTGTCTTACTTGCAGATACGAAGTGACGGGTACCAAATCCGATATAGTTCCAACCATGGGTGGCAGGTCGAGCTCTTCCCCGCTTCGCCGGACTTCATACGGCCGCCGGGCGGGGGCGTTTACCCCCAAGACGCATCTCAGCCTGTTCAGCGCGTGGCTCGGCCATACTAGCGCGAAGGATAGACGCAGTAGCCTATACCATCTCAGACAGCCACCATGAGCGCCCATCTTTTGTAACATAGCCAGTCTCAACGAACCGATGACCACACATGCTGATAGGACAAGTCAAGGAAGCCCAACTCAACGATGTTGGATCACCGATGGCCGGCAGACCCCGAGAATTTGGTTCCCTGATCCCCGAACAGTTGGTTTTCAACAACCACGCCCACCACACGCGCTCACTGACTCTGGAGTGGTCTGCGGCTTCCCTTTCTCGGAGACTTCTCCCGCGATAGAAAGCACTCAGTCATTGGCCTGTGGCTCCGTCACGATGCTCTGGCGCCTTACCTCACCGGCACCCTGACCGCGGCTGCCGATACCCATCTTGTACCGCGCACCCTCTTATCCTGAACTGACGGACGAATGGCGTCTCTTGTGAATGGACCCGCTACCTGCGGAGACGCTCCCGCAAAAGGCATATGGCTCGAATTACGAAGGCGGACTTCCCTCCCCTTGGCCCTACGGTCTCGTCATCTCCTTGCCTTGAAATACACTGAAAGTAACCCGGACCTGCTGTCAGTTTGTATCTCTCTGGACTCACATAGTTATGAAGAAAACTGACGGGAATGCAGAAACGGGCGCGGGCAGCGCGCAGGATGCCATACTGAGGACTCTACGGCCCCAATCATACAGACGGTTCCTCGAAGCCTTTCAATCTTGGCCTCCGCTTGCCGGATCCAGAAGGCTTGTCATCTCTGTTTTCTCTCCCGCCGCGCTGCTCTTGCCACTCCCTGGGAGCTTGTGTGAACCTCCGTGCACATCGTACCGCTCGCGAGTCTTTGGTTCCGCTTCTTCTCTCGCGCGCTATCGCCCAGAACCGTGTCGACTGCCGGCCCTCTCTGGGTACGTCCGTACACCGACAAGACAATCTTGTGACCGCTACTTGTCTCAAGCAGGAAGTTCCTTCCCTAGCATGTCGTACGGACGTGATCTGTACATCATTGGGACGTAGCAGGTCGGAAATGCCCCGGGTTAGCACCACCGTCTATGCTGCCCTGATCCACTACCCAGGAACCGGTCTACTAGCTCTGTTATTGATCGCCGCTTGGTGGCGAGCGCTAGAGTAAGGCTACGAGTCGCTGTCACTTGCTATTACCCTCAGACCAACTTTATCTCCAATGGTCAGGCCTTCAGCGCTTCAGCGCCCGAACCACGTCCGAGAGCGGCCTCGAACTCGTCACCCCGCCTATCAATGCACCTCTAAGCGCCCGGCGCCTACGATTACCCTCAGCCCACGGCAAACACGCCTTCGCTTCTCAGGCTAGTTCTTGCCTGCTGACCCAGCCGACTCAACTTCCATTGCCGGCGGAACACAACCAGCGGGCACTCCACGTCCGCTCCGTGGCAGCTGTTCGCGTACCTAGCTTCGCGTTGCTTCCCTTTGTGCGGCTGAAGGTGGGCTCGCTTGGCCTTTCCGCCGAGGGGTAGATACGGGCTGTGTATGCTGCGACCAGGAGTACAAGGCCCGATCTCGATAGGCCAGATCGGGATGCCCCCTTGTCACGGGGAGCTATTGTGCTCTGTTGGTTCTTCGCGGGCGAGTCAAGGGGTATATAAGCCCAAGCCATTTGGGGGCTTGTGCTCAGGCCACTCCTCCTTCTCGCCACCCTCGCGGTCGCTCAGGACTTCGTCTGCCACCCGCGCTTACTACTTCTTCGCCGTCGAACATGGGTTGCTCTCAGGCCCCCCTCAGCTCCGGACGCAAGGTCTCCAACCCGGAGGAGCAAGGACGAGTAAGCTGTCTCAGAGCCTTGTCCATCCTGATGCTGACTGCTTTCAGATTCGCCGCCTTCAAGTGGTATGCATCGCAGTATAGCCGTCTAATCTGCCGCTGACCTCTTGCGCCAGAACGAGCGCGTTCAAGTCCGCCGCGCCAATAGCAATGACTGGATTCCCGGCGTGATTGTGTCCGCCCTGCAGTACTTCGGCGTGGTGAGCACCTGTATTCCGTTCCGTCTTCAGAACCCGAGTCGCCGGCGTGCTATCTGCTACTACCCTCGACGAGCGTGAGTCGGTCCAGCACACTCAGGCGACCCATGCTGGGAACGCCACTTCGCACGTTACTCAGGTCCCTTGACTCCAGCGTCTCCGAGCTTCTCTTTGACTGAATGGTCGCCGTCACTCTGCTGACCAGTTGCGCTGCACCCTTTTGCTGATAGTGACCATAGGTGGGCGAAGGGTACGAGGTTCAGTACGACTCTGGTGGGAGGGAAACCATGCCTGCGTCTCCGCAGCACATCCAACCGACTATGTGATGAGAATATCAAGATATAGGGCTGCTTAAGTCGAAGAATAAGGAAGCATGATTCTGTCTACGGCCGAGCTGGCAGAATACTGCATTGGTATAGGGCGAAATTTGTACTTGTATCTGGTTCAATCAATATGTTATGGCGCCGCATATACTGCCATATCTGGCTGACCTTCTTCCGCTCAAGATGCGCTCGCCGATGAGAAGCCAAACGGCTGACTCCCGCTTGAACTGGAATTGAACTTGGCACTTGTGGGTCCAGATTTCGGTGCTTGCCGGTCGGCCGATCGGCCCGCATCCCACCTAGATCGCGAGTCCATTGTTCTCCGGACGCGCCCTCTTCCTCCCACTCGTGTCCCTCTGAAGTAGCGAATTGCTACGGGGCTGTGTGGAGACAATCTTGGACTTCGAAGAAATATGCTTAGACACTGCGTCAGGCGTACCAGTCCTCTCTCGCGGCGGTGGACTCGCGCACTCTTCCAGTCTGCGGCGGACAAGCCCTCGTACATCACTACTCCCATCTTCTATCCCAATGCCGGTAAGTAATTCATGCAGAGGATATGTACGCACGCTGACCAAAGTATCTCTGACCCTCCCCTCGCGCTCTGTCCTCTCTGCTTGATACATCCGCACAAACAAGTTCCCCACATCGGTCACCTTTACTCCCTCGTCATTGCGGACATCTTCGCGCGCTATAGTCGCCTCAGGCACCCTGAAAAGCCAACATACTTCCTGGCGGGCACCGATGAACATGGCATCAAGATACAACGCGCAGCGGAGGCCCGAGGCGAGGAGCCCCTCGCCTTCTGTGATACTCTGAGCGCCCAGTTCCGCGTGTGTCCGTTAGCTCTGCTGAAGAGGAGCTACCCATCCCTAACATGCTCCTACAGAGATTGTCGCAGGCGGCAGATATCAGTTACACGGTCTTCATGCGCACGACTTCTGAGCAGCATCATCGGGCAGTGGTGGACGTATGGGTGCGTGCCAAGGCCCCTCAACCTGAATGTTGCTTACATCGTTATGCAGAAACGTCTTGACGAGAAGGGCCTCATCTACAAGGCCGCATACGCCGGCTGGTACTCCGTCTCCGACGAATGCTTCTACACCGACGCGCAAGTTGAGAGCGTGCCCGACCCTAAGGACCCCACGAAGACCATTATGATCTCCACCGAGACGAAGAACGCCGTCGAGTGGTCCAGCGAGGAGAACTACATGTTCCGACTATCCGCGTTCCAGGACGCGTTGTTGAAGCACTACAAGAACAGCGCGGACGCGAACGGGACTCGCCCTTTACCGACCCGCATCTACCCTCCTCAGGCTCATGCGCAGATTGTCGACATCCTCGAGAACGCGCCGCTAGCAGACCTGAGCATTTCGAGACCACGGTCGCGCTTGTCGTGGGGCGTGCCGGTGCCAGGGGACCCAGAACACTCAATCTACGTGTGGTTTGACGCGTTGCTGGTCTACCTCAGTGGAGTGGGGTACCCCTTCAAGCAGGACGCGGCGGGGGTGTTCGATCAGGGAGCTATTGCGCGCAGCGGCTGGCCGCCCAATTTGCAGGTCATAGGGAAGGACATCTTGAGGTCAGTCTTGCCTTGAGCTCGAATGTGTGGTCTCACACGACTGCCATAGGTTCCACGCCCTCTACCTCCCAGCGGTCCTCGTCGCCCTAAACTTCCCATTACCAGGACGGTTACTGTCTCACGGCCACTGGACAGTAGAAGGGCGCAAGATGTCCAAGTCCTTGGGCAACGTTGCAGACCCTTTCGACGCAATGGAGCGTCATGGCGTTGACTGCGTGAGGTACTATCTAGCGAGAGTGGGAGGCAAGTTCCGAGATGATGTCGGTGAGTACGCCATGGGTTATCACACAGCGCTATGTATTTTAGGTTCGTATACTAACCCATTTCAGATTGGTCTGAAGTCCAGCTCGTCAAGCACACCAAGGAGCTCCAATCCCTTCTTGGCAATTTCTACCTTCGTTCGACCTCCAAGAAGGTCATGGAGCGCGTTGGGGCGCACGAGCCGAGGCAGAGCTTGGGTGAGTGCTGCTTGGGGACCGTCAAGCGACTAATGCTGACAGGATAATCTATAAAGAACAAGTACTCTCTGCGCTTGCTACCGACGATCCTCTGCGCGAGCTTCACACCATCGCGAAGGCACTGCCTGAACAGGTCGAGGAACGGCTGCTCGATATGGATGTCGCGGGTGCAATTACGCACATCACGGAGGCGTTGAAGCTGGTGAGTAGGCCTCATCCTCGTGTCTTGTTGAAGTTGGCTGACCACACCTCTCCAGCTCAACAAGATCTTCGGCGACGTTGCACCTTTCCAGAAGACGACATCGCCAGAAGCGGCCTACAATCTACACGTGGTTTCCGTCGACCTCCTGCGCGTAGTGGGCGTCTGCTTACAGCCCTTCGCGCCGAAGGCGGCGGGTGTTCTGCTTGATGCGCTGCGGGTGCCGGAGGGGAAGAGGAGTTGGCAGGATGCGCAAGGAAGCGATGCGGTGGATGCTTTGGCGGTCGAGCGCGGAGTGAGGATTTTCCCTCCTGCTCAGTAGATTCAGTAGACGTATACCTTTATCACCGCCACTCAATCATGACACCCTTGATGACCACACATGTCCATGAGCATTGAAGATATCATATAGCTAGCAGTACAGGCCAAGGGAGGCGCGCATGAGTGGCAATCACTGCCTCTTGGCAGGCGGCGGTGTCGACTCGTGCTCGCCCTCCGCCTTGCGCTTGAGCCCAAACTGCACCTTCGACCGCTCGCCCACCGGCGTCCCCGTCCCACTGCGATCCGCCTCCGCCACCGTCCCAATCCTGGAAAACCCAGCGCGCGGCCCCGGACTCGCCTGCGGCGCCGGCAGCGTCATGAACCCAGTGTTCGCGGCCGCCTGTTGCTGCTCCGCCTTCCCCTTGCCCTTCTTCTTCCCCTTCCCGTCCTTCTCCTGCCCCTGCTTCTTCCCCAGGGGCTGCGCGTCCACGAACGCGCCGTCCACCTGCGGTACCGCGCCGCGGTTGCCAACAGACAACACAAAGTGCGCCTGCCCCGTCTTCTCCTGCCGCGCCTGGAACGCGCTCGCCATGCTCGTCGGCGTGTCCCCGCTCGACATCGCCTGCTGCTTGCGCTCCTCGGCGATCTTGCGCAGCCGCTTCTCTGTCTTCGCCTTCCCTGAGCCCTTGCCATGGAAGCGGTGCGAGAGCGCCTTCCACGCTTCCTTGGGGGTCAGCGAGCGTCCGAACTCGTCGTAGTAGACGATGTTGATGTCGGGCTTGTAGTGCTTAAAGGTCTCTAGCTGCTCGCGCGCCTCCTGCTGCTCACGCATGCGGTTCTCGTACTCGCGCTGCGCCTGGTCCTTCGGCTGGCCGCGCGCGGCGAGGCGCTCCATCTCGCGCTGGGCGACGCGCCGCCTCTGCTCGGCGAGCCAGAGGTTCTGCTGCAGCTGCGTCTTCTCGCGGTCGATCTGGTCGGCGTTCGGCGTTGCGAGCAAGCCGGTCTGGCGGAGGATGCCAAGGGTGGAGGCCATGGACTTGAAGGTCTGCTCTGACTGTGTGCCGACCTCGTCTGCGGCGGCGACAGCGGCCTCGCTCGAGGATGCTTCTGCCTTCCAAGCAGCCTCGATCTGGTCCAGCATGGCCATCTCGTTTTCCTCCGGCTCCTCCTTGACGGCGCCGTTGGTCTCGATCTCGTCCATGGGAACATCTCCACCCTCGCTGGCGGGTGGTGCCATCGACACCTCGCGCGAGGGTTTGAGGGACGCTTCCCGAGGCTCGACCTTCGGTCTGCGCTCTGGTACTGGGTTGAGGCCAACGGCGCGCACGAACTCGGTGGTGTCGTCGAACGTCAGACCACCTTCCTCGCCGGTGACCGCCTCGATCTCCTCGATCTTGATTGCTTGCTCGGCCTCAGCCTCCTCGCGTGCACGCTCTTCCGCAACTGACGATATGAATTAGCACGAAGCACGGTAACAATAATGATAAGGCTCACACTTCTTCGCGAGATCCTCCGGCTTCAGCTTCTTCGTCTTGTTCAGCTTTGCTCGTCGCGAGCGCGCAAGAGCGGCTTGCAGCTCGTCGTCATCCACGAAGTTGGCATCCAGATTCCGCTCTCGCGCGACCGGCTTTATATCGACGTCCATTGCCTCGTCGGGCTTGATGTCGGTGTCGTCAACAGTGACCTTGCGCGCCTGATGCTTCTTTTTCTTCTTGGGCTTCTTGAAGCCGACATCACCCTCCTTGAGGTAGTCATCGGTGGATAGAACCTCTGTGGAAGTTAAGCAAAGGCGTGACATGAGATGGAGGATAGACGCACTCTCGTAGTCAATGCTGAGGAGGGTCTTGTTCACGGACGCAGCTGCTTGTTCTTGCTCGGCACGAGCTGCCTTAGAGGTCTTTATGCTGCTACCCAAACGGAAGCCCTGAGATGTTCATGAGTCAACCGTAAGTATCTGGTGCGAGTACGGCCACGCACCGTCTCGCCGTCCATGTCTTCGTCATACTTGGCGAGCACCGCACGCTTCATACCGACATGGCCCTCCTTAAACTCCTCATCATCATAGCCAGTATAGTCGGCCTTCTTGATCTTCATCTCATTGTTCTTCTTCGTGCGCTCATGCTCGGCCATCTCAACATTTTGGAGTTCATCCTCTGCAACAGCGGGAATTAGAAGAATGAAGGCGCAGGACGAGTATGTCACGCACCCTCATTGTCCAAAATGCGGCTGTCTTTGAGCGTGAGGATGCGGTCTTCGCCCTCATCGAGCTCTTCGAAGTCGTGGTTGACCTTGAGGCCCGCAAGATCGCCTGAGCGAACGTTAGTGAAGGACTAAGTGGCAGGGTCTGGCACGCACGTTCTCCGTACTCCTCGAGCACCTGCTTCTCCTGCTCTTCCTGCTCTCTCAGCCGCTTCTCTGCCAACTCCTTCTGCTTCTTCTTGCTGCGCTTGATCCATTTGAGCGTGTCGTCGTCGCCCTCAGCGTCACCCAAAGTGGCGCCCTTCAGCGACGCATTGAGTTCTCGCTTATTTCGATGCCTGACAAGAGTATGTCAGCAGTCGCACCACTGCTTCAACAAACGTACTCACTTCGCAATACGCTCTTGGATCTTCCTGCAAACGGATTTCAAGTCAGATAATTCAGGAATATACGGGGCCAGCTAACCTTGCGTGACACGCATTGCTCGGAGCAATGCATACTCATGACGCATGGTGGCCGCGCAAGGAGGGGGAGGAAGGAAGATGATTTACTTTGTTTCGCGCTCCTTGGCCTCGCGCTCGCGTTGCTTCTTGTAGTTCTCCGCTGCGGTCTCCTCTTGGCTGTCGGCTGGCGCCTTGTCGTCTGTGAGGGGCTTCAGGCCGAGGGAGATACGAATCTTGTTCGTCTCCTCGAGACTGATGCTCTCTTCCATCGACATTTTGGAGGTATGGCGCGGGAAGAAGGAGGATGAATGATGGTCGTCGGTCTAGTCGTAAGTGGTCTGAGAAGAGAGTAGAGCAGGATAAGGGGGTAGAGATAGAAAGGAAAGGACAGCCGTTGAAACAAGCTTTGCCGCCCTCAGAGTTCAGGATGAGGAGGGGATGCGGCAGCTCCGGCCCGATCGGCTGACGCAAGGATTTGTGGCGAATTTTGCTCACGGTCACTCTTGTTGATTTCCAAGTCCAACTTGAACCATCACCATCTCGGCACCATCCTATGCTTTGAAGGCAACGGACTATGCTGCGTCGATTTCTCAGGGCATCCAATGCGTGAAGGTGTATCTTTGCGCTATGATTTCCATTGCTACTCGCGAGCTACTCGAGCTCTGAAATACCTTTCGAGTTCAGTCATCCCTCAGGCGCATCGGCGAATACACTGTCAATATTTCTCAAAGTAGCCAGGCCTCATATCTGATACGCATACTCTCGTTTTACTTTGCTTGTCAATCGACTATCAGCCACCCTCCGCTAGGCTGTCAACTGCCTTCCTCGACGCCTTCGCCTGCCAGCAACAAGGCACGCATCCTCGCCACATCCCCGGTTCCCACCAGCCCTCCCAGCATGCCCAGCACACGTTCGGGATAAATCCAGGAAGATCGTCGCTTACACTACCCCTGTGCGTCGTCCTCCGCGTCATTAGGCACTCGCATGCATTGACTAATCAACCTTACTCTTGCTTTCAATCCAATCCGCTTGCCTCTCGGGATCCGCCTCCCTCCGTCCGACGTCCGCTCTAGCGTCTCTCACTCAGCATCAGCAACCTTACCCCGAACTGGCTACACTGCGTACACACGCACGTCTTCCGCGGGGAAACTGCCGCTGGATAGGCGCCGTTAGCACAACACGAGCCCTCCCCCACACGCCGCCATCCTCGGCCACCGCACGCTGATCTGCCGCAGCTGGGAAATGATCGTCGATGGGCAGGCCTTGAGGCGATGGTATCTGCGTGAAAGCGACTGATATTTGCGCTCAAGCAGGTCATCTGCAGACTTCGTTGCGAAGGCGTGGTGGCGTTCGTGATAGGCCTCCTCTCTCTGTCTCTTGAGATATCTTGACAAGAGAAATACCGAGGTGTATTGGACTGGGCTGAATATAATTGCTATGTTTGACCTTCAATGACCTTCAACTATTCAGATCTGTATGCGTAAATTGAGACATCTTCACGCCGTGGCCAAAATAAGGGTTAGAGGGCTGGTAGAGATACCGAAGATTGAAGGGGAGGGGAAGATGTCGAACATTATGGTGTGATACCGAAGATTCAAGCCATGAATGTGGAACTTGACAAAGGAGATGGAGGAGGGCAGGAAGTATGGCGGCACGCGGAGGCAATGTCAACAAAGGGAATTGCAAACGCGGGCTAGACAAGGGGAGGGAATTTAGGGACTTTATGTAGGTGGTGTCTCCGGCGTGTATGCAGGCGCGGAATCCGACGTGTATGCAGCGCTCTCACCGGCGCGTATACACAACAGGCAATGCCGACGTCGACATCGCCGCGTGCGTGGTCACAGTAATGCCTCGCGGGCCAGTCGACGGCGTCTCGCGGGTCAATCGACAGCGCCTCGTCCAGCAGCGCCTCGCGAATCGTCAGACAAACCTCTTCTTGGCGGAATATGGCGTCTTGACAGTTGAGTCGGCCGCACGCAGATTGTCAGCGCAAGGCGGTGCCGGCAAACGTGCAGCGGCTGGGCGAGTGTCTCCGAGTGAGTAGGCGAGTCATCGGCGGCTGGGCGACTGTGGTGGCGGCTAGGCAGATGCGAGGCAGCGCTCTGGGCGAATACTTGACGGCTGGGTCAATGTTCGACTTGGCGCACGAATCGAACCACCGCGAGACAGACGAATTTCAATGCAAATGACTCCATAATCCCAGTAGTAAGACAGTCCAATAATGCGAGCGTTGCGTGTATGTGCCGCTGTAGTGCCAGATGTACAGTGAAATGCGAGAGGGGGAGCCGAGGTGCGACAGAGGTACCGAGGCATAGGAGTGCGAATATGGAACCGGGCCATAGGAATGCGAATATGGGGCCGGAGCATAGAAGTGCGAGAATGAAAACCGGGATGCAAGAGTGGAAGCCTGGGCGTATGGCGCCGGGCGTGTGCGTATATGGTACAACAGTTGGGTCGAGTCGGATAGCAGAGAGCAGCGAGTGGGTAGGTGGTGGCGGCGGGGGTTATAGGAGACAGGGGGTGTGGTCGAGGACGGTAGGAATGGGAGAATAGATGCGCGAGATGGGAAGGGTAGCACGGAGGCGATTGGGGATAGGTGGGTGTGGAGTTTTGGGATAGATGGTGCGAGAACAGGGTCGACGTAAGATGCTGAGCGAGAAGGCTAGTAAGGTATATGAAAGAAGGCGAAAGAAGCAGCCACGGCGCGATGAATCAGAAGCGCAGGCTGCGCAGCCACAGGCGTGTGTACAGAGGTCATAGATAGGTTAGGGCAAGCGTAAGGTAGGTGAGGGGTCCGTCCAGGCGCAGCAGTTCAACAGAACTCTGGGCTGGTCCTGAGACCCTGGCGCGGCGCTTGTTGTGCGTCTCCCGGTGGAGCGCATTGCCGCTTGGATGATAGATGGGCTCGCTAAAGGCGGAGCAGGTGATCGGCTCGCTATGGCGAAGCACGAAGACGGCCGGCAGAGGCGAGGCGCCGGCTGGAAGTATAGGGGACGGCGGGGTTTAGGTGGCGGGAACCGGCCGTGAAGAGGGGTGGGATCGATGCGAGACAGACATGCAGCGGAAGGCGTTGACGAGGTCGTCGCTGCGCTTGTCCATGTAGCGCTCGTCGATAAACTCTTGTTCGGGGAATTCCTCGGGCGTGGACGGCGGGGTCGACGCGGGCGAGGATGCATCCGACGAGTTGGGGCTCCAGGCGGAGGTGAGCTGGGGGACACCTTCCGTGGGCGAAGGCAGCGCGGAGGGAATCCGACGGCGACGGGCGGAGGCGGAGGCGCAGTACTTCACGAGGGCGTCATAATGGGTCTGCAGGTCGTCGGCATGCAGCATGAGGCAGAAATCCAGCACCGACAAGAACTCGCGCTCGACGAGGCAGACGTCGCGCTTGGTGAAGATGCCTGTGTAGAGCGCCCAGTGGGCGTTCTTGGGGGACGCGTCGTTGATGTACTGACACGCTCGTGTCAGCAAGACGCGGTCAAGGTAGGCCACAAAACAAGTCTACCTTGGCCGCGACAATCAATGCACCGAGGAAGACACGTTCGTGGGCGAAGTCCTCTACTGTGATGTGGAGATGCTCCTTTGCGCGCTCGATGTAAACCTGCACGGACGTGAGGAAGTATGGGAGGAGATATGGCGCTGGGACGTACAAGTGTTGCGAGGATGACGGCGATGGGGACCTCGGCGCGGTAGATGACATTTGAGACAAAGCTCATGAGGCGTTGCCTGGCCAGGTCGTTGCCAAAGGCGCGTCTGCGGCCGATGGCATGATCAACGGTCTCGATGGACTTGTCGACGAGGTATTCTGGGCAACGGTGAGCTCTACAGCTTCGTCGGCGCCGCACAACACGCACCGATGACAGATCGTGAGACCTTTCCGGAGAACATGGTGAGCAGCTCGCTGTCGGCGGCGCAGGCGTCGTGGGCGCAGGGGGCGGCGAAGCAGTAGTGGGGATGCATTCCGGGGCGCATAAAAGCGAAAGGTTCCGGTCTCGAAATCTCTCGAAGTGCTTTATATGCGGTGACATCACGGATGAAGAGGACGATGATCAAGTTCCTTTGCATTCGAACTTCGATCTCCGGCACAGCCGTCCGCGCCGGCAAGGCACGGCAGGCACGCGCCGCGCACGCTCATCATCAAACGATCATCATCGACGCGTCGCGTCCGTCCCCGTCCATTTCCTGCCCCGCTCATGCGCCGGTGGAGTCCCTCACCTGCCGCGCTCTCTCCCCCTGGTCTCAGTGCACAGGAACAGATCCCGGTTGCCAGCTCGTCGGCGATATACGAACACAAACGCAGGAACGCCGCGGCTGCGCCGAGAGGTTCGGACTCGCGGCGCGCCCGCTGCCATCCCTGCCAGCAGGGCTGTGCACCCTTCCCGCTTGTCGCAGCCGCACACAATCATGCAATGCGGCGCTTATCGAGGCGCACCACAACCGAAAGGAGGCGACCGACCGACCGCGCATCAGCCCACCCCTGCGACCCACAACCCTTTGGGATCGCCAGACATGACTTGGAGAACGATGACAACGGCGAGGGGAGCTTCGCACCAAGAGGTAGCAGATCACTGGATCGCCCAAAAGGAAGTCTCGCGTGCTTCGACCCCTCCCCCCCCAAATCGGGTAGTTTTTTTGATGTGACGTAGTGCATGTACGCGCGCACCTGATCGCTCCCTCGACGCTCCTTGTGAGTGTTCGTCGCGTCCTAGTCGCGTCTCGCTCGTTTCGTCGTCATTCCCGCTGTAGTCGAATACGCAATGCATTTCATACCTTCTTCACAACCACCATCTCGAGCGGCCCCGCGTGTACAACATCCTAGGCCGATTGGACTTGAAGAGCTCGATTTCGCCACCGTTGGCTGGCGCCGCCAGCTCGTACTTCTCACCAACTTCTCACCGTGTCATCTTCGAATATCTCATCTTCTTGGCCTTCTTGGAATAATGTCTCTAGCTCTCCTTTCCCCAATTCCTCTTGGCTGCCTTCCCAGCAGCACGAGCCCCAGCATGAACCCGTCCTCGGACCACCCATCCGACCACCACTGCGATGGCGGTCCCCCTCTGCACCCAATACCCAGCGCATTCCAGAGCTGCCCAACGTACCGTCGGATACCCAGCGTAGAAAATGCTGGCACCCTGCCTGCCCTGCCACATTCGCCCCCACTGCCAACAACGAGTCGATCAGGAGTCACATGCTCGGGAAACGGTGCGCTGGTGAGTTTGCACACCCTCTGTAGCTATCATGCATCCTGACGTAGCCTATAGGTAATCAGAGAAGTCAAGCACCTGCCGAAGCCTTCTGGACGACTGATTCAACATGCTCGGATCGCACGCAGCCCCCTCTCCCAACTCAGACACGACACTGCGACGGTATCAGCGTGCGATGGGACGCAGGTGTCTTCGAGGTCTCGTATCCCTTCCATCTGCAGGCGGACGGGTCGGGGGCGGGGCTAGGATATGATCTGACATCCCTCTCGCCTCCGCGTGCCCGTTCCAAGCGGTGCCGTCGCACAATCGCTGTGACAGAAGACGCATGTCCAGCGTGTAAAGCCGCTCAGGTCGAGATTGATGTTCTCGAGGAGATTGCTCGTCGGCCTTTCGATCGGGTCCATTCGTATGGGCAGCTCAACTATGCCCAGCAGCGAAGTCGTGCGCGACATCTCACGAAACAGCTTCAGAAAATGGTGTTACAGGTATATCTCCTTCGCATTTGCAGTACATGCGCGCCCACTGATACAATTTCGCAGGAGTTGAACGCTTCACGGTCGCTCAAGATTGCGCGCAGACATGTCAAGCAACATCAGGAGATACTCGAGTATGCGGGGCAGAATCTTGTGCCCGGCTTGCACAGGGTCCTTGCCAACGCGCTGAAGCAGGGCTGGAGCGCGAAGAAGACTCTCTCCTACCTCATCAAGGCTGTCAATGGAGAGTACCACCCGCGTAACTACTCTCAAGTCGACATAGACCTCGCCGTCATACTCTACTCGTTCGGGGGCGCTAGTGCCGTCTATGCCTTCAACCACTCATACCTCGCTTTGCCTTCGCTCAACACCATCCAGCCGCATCGACGTCTCTACCGCATGACTGTCTCTACCGAGGGCATCAGACTTACCGACATTGCCAGCAACATTGACACCGTCTATGGCCCTCACGAGTCGCCAAGGGGTGGCCTCCTCGAGCGAAGCGTGCCGCTAGAACGCTGCGGGTTGACGCTGGCCATCGACGAGACGATGATCGAGGCGAAGGTGGAATACGTTCAGGAGAACGACACGCTGGGAGGTCCGTGTTTCGAGCATAGCAACCGCCTGAAGTCGGTCCGTGTCGGGGACGACTGCGAGACTGTCAAAGCGGCCGTAGCTGCGGTTCGCGACGGGACCGTCCACATCGCAACCGAAGTATCAGTCGGGGCCATCTCACGCCTCGCTCGCACGGGCTACGCTGCGCGTCCCGTCTTCCTTATCCCTACCTGCAAGAAGCGGTCTTATGCACAGTCTGTTGAGCTCATCCTATACACGCTGGAGGCTTGGGACCGCTCGGAAAATGGCGCGAAGAAGTATGGGCCGATTTTCAATGTTGCTTCTGACGGAGACGCCATTCGACGAGCGTCCTTATTCACTATCTGTATGTGTGAGGAAGTTCGAGTGGGACATCCTCTCTGGGAGTACCTGCACGAGCTCTTCCCCCTTGGCCTCAACCCGCGCATCGGCAAGAATAGTGTGTCCATGGACTTTGATTACAAGCATCTCATGAAGCGTATGCTATCCCTCCTTACCCCATTCTGCCGACGAGCTGATACATCCTTCAGGCGCCTGTACACTCGTCTGCTCGAAGGACGGCATGTTCATCAATGGCGTCAAGGTCAACCCCGCTCTCCTTCATATCTGGCTGGAGCGCATTCCCAATAGGCGGTGGCCGGATACCTCAATTGAATCCCTCCTACAGCCAGATGACGCCCAGGATGTACCCCGCGCTATCAAGCTTCTTTGGCTAATCGCCGACATACGCACTATCAACACCGATGGTATGGACCCGCACGAGCTGGAGGAGTTCACCGCTCTATGTATCCTGGGAGAGATGTTCGAGGCTCTGGTCTTGCCCTTCGTTGAGCCCGCTCTCACCCTCTCAGAGCAGTACCGTTACCTTGTCAAGTTCTCGCACATCCTCTCAGCACTCTACGCCCGAAACGGACGCGACTTCTGCTCAAACCAACTGTACAACGACTTCCAATGCATGGTGAAAGCAGCTGTCTACCTCATAGCGAAGACCCTCCGCTTGAATCCGAAGCTGGGGGTCTATTTCTGTCTCCTCGGTGACGACGTCGTCGAAGCGCTCTTCGGTCTGATCCGCATGCTTGGTGGCCATTCCCCGAATGCGAGTCTCCTCCAGTTCAAGCAGCGTGCAGAGGCCGCTATCAACCTCGCAGCTGTGTTTGAGCGATACCCCCAGCTAGAGCGCTTAGGCCGGCGGTTGCAGCTCCGTCCGATACCAGGTGCTGGCATGCGTCGAGCCCGCGATATGGATCACATCCGCCCGCCGACCTGGCACGGCGAGGTTGCAGCGGAGTCGTGCGATCTTGTGGGGTGCTGGAAGGAGGGTGCTCGCGCGGCCGAGGCAGCGTTGGACAAGTACAAAGTCCGTATGGACATGTCGTTCACTGAACGCTTCGCGCGCCCGAATACCGACCTCATGCGGCCTCTTGGAGGGAAATACCCCGCCATCTCCAATGACATCGACCGCTCCGTCACTGGCGATGCATCTCCCCATGCCGAGTCTCCTACAGATACTACGATCCCGACGTCTCTCGCAGACGGGACCACAACAACTCTGGACATCGACTTCGACACTGTGCTCGCGCGGGAGAAGGCCGAGATTGCGGCGCATGCAGTTGATGGACATAGCGCCTTCGCGAAGTTGAACGAAGATGGGGTTTTTGGTCCCAAGAAGAGCATAGTCAGCGTCCATTTCAATCTGGGCAGCGAGCGGCTGAGCCATGAGCGCAACTGGAGGGTGCGTGGGTTCACCGCAGCCGGGAGAGCTGGAACGCAGGGCATGCAGGAGGCCATAGATCATACGGTCACGGCCAGTCTCTCGACCCATCTCAAGCTCCGAGATTTATTCGCCACGCTCGTGTCTCCCAATGGCAAGGATATCTCCATCGCGATTGTCAAACCTCTCGTCATCAAGCAGACCCAGGCGTCGAAGCCCAACCCCGTACACGTTCCGTCGGCTCCCATTTCGGAAGTACAACTTGTCCCTTCGCCGTACGTCGTCTCTGGCCAGGTCCTTGCACTGAAGCCCCTCGACGGCGAAGGTGCGCAGTGGGTTTGGGAGGGGAATTATGTTGGCTTCTCGGCTAGCAAGCGCAAGGAATCAGCGCTGCTACCGCCTGGTCCGATACGCGATTCCACCGTGACCGTTGTCGGAAGCCTCGTCCGGCCGATTGCTTACAGTCGAGTAGAGGCAGAGGACCTTCAGGACGCCAACCTCGACATCGTGCATGATGCGACATGGGTAATCAACAACACGGAATTGCGCTCGGCTTGGTCCGACCTGTGGAAGGTTATCCGAAGTGAGCAGGGCCTTCAGGTCGCAATCCCTGTTTATGGGGAGGCACATAATGCATACCCGTACATGGTTCGCCAGAATCCAGGTCTGTCCGTGCGTCTTACGAGCCTTGATGATTTTTCTGATTTTCTTGCAGCTCATCCGCGGGGCATGATCTGGGCGACCTCAGCAACAACGGCCAACATTGTCCTCAAGAGCAAACAACAAGCTTGCACGATATGCAGTAGGGCCAACGTCAAGGACACAGACCGCCAGCGCCACATGGGAGAACATCTGCTCAAGGTTCTCCTTCATGTAGGCGAGCCAAGTAAGACTCGTGCAGTAAGTAGTGCGTGAGAGGCGCGCGTTCTCTGACTGATCATTCCAAGGTCTCATCGCAATACCCCTGCGGCTTCTGCGGTGGACCCGGTGTCGGCGAGAACGCGTGTGGGATCGGTATCAAGAGCGGCGCGGCGCACTCCAACTGTCCGCGCGCCTATGCTTTCATGTTGCACGCAGCGAGGAAGTTCGACGAGAAGCGCCCATGCACAAACGTTCCTGTCGTTTGCACCTTCCCGTATTGCGGACAGACGCACTGGAAGTACAACTATCACCAGCACTTCACCGACCGACATCCATCTTGGCGCGACGAGATGCCTTTGGACTCCGAACTGGCCACGGCGATTCGAATCGGAGAAGCAGAGCAGGCAGCGATGGGGATACCAAAGGCTCAGATCTGTGTGTGGCCCCCGCTTCCTGCCTCCGTAGACGGTGCCGCGCAGCGCGGGTGCGTGCCCCCGAACAGTAGTAACGACAAGGAGAACATACGCCCGCTACCTACTAATACCATGTAATTGATTGACTCAAGGGGGAAGTAGATTTACTGTATTCTTCATGTAGAGTATCACAATCTCTGTCCAGCATACAACGCGTCCTCGCCTCTTTCGACTGACCGCGGCATGGACGGTCGACCGCGTCCCGTCTCCTGCGCTGAAAAAGGAAATTCTCCATCGGGCCTAGGCTTTTGATGATCAAGCACGCGAGACTTCCATTGTAGGCGATCCAGTGATCTGCTACCTCTTGGTGCGAAGCTCCCCTCGCCGTTGTCATCGTTCTCCAAGTCATGTCTGGCGATCCCAAAGGGTTGTGGGTCGCAGGGGTGGGCTGATGCGCGGTCGGTCGGTCGCCTCCTTTCGGTTGTGGTGCGCCTCGATAAGCGCCGCATTGCATGATTGTGTGCGGCTGCGACAAGCGGGAAGGGTGCACAGCCCTGCTGGCAGGGATGGCAGCGGGCGCGCCGCGAGTCCGAACCTCTCGGCGCAGCCGCGGCGTTCCTGCGTTTGTGTTCGTATATCGCCGACGAGCTGGCAACCGGGATCTGTTCCTGTGCACTGAGACCAGGGGGAGAGAGCGCGGCAGGTGAGGGACTCCACCGGCGCATGAGCGGGGCAGGAAATGGACGGGGACGGACGCGACGCGTCGATGATGATCGTTTGATGATGAGCGTGCGCGGCGCGTGCCTGCCGTGCCTTGCCGGCGCGGACGGCTGTGCCGGAGATCGAAGTTCGAATGCAAAGGAACTTGATCATCGTCCTCTTCATCCGTGATGTCACCGCATATAAAGCACTTCGAGAGATTTCGAGACCGGAACCTTTCGCTTTTATGCGCCCC